AATAGTAGCTGGGGGAGAGTTCCTTCCTTCTAGGGAAGTACGTTAAGACCTATATTGAGAAAATATTAACCTCACATTTGAGAGTCATGTTCATCACAAGGTGGTCACTTGTATAATTGGGGCCTTATTTGCACTACACTTATTAAACATGGGTGAGATTTTCGGTGGCGTTCTAAAATTTCTACCGCAACACTTCCATTAATTCTGATGCCCATATCGAGTTAACAATATCAAGTTATCACAAAAGAGGGACCAACAACCCAAATATAAGGTCCACATGCACAACGTGCTATGAAACACAAGAGGCACAATCAAGCCAAATATAAGTTCCACATAAATAAAGTGTGATGAAGGGTAGACTGGATACAAACCTAGCCTTGGACAAGCATAAAGACATATCTAATTCATCTTCAATCTGAACCAAGTGAAAACTAAAGCATTTAAGAACTTACTCAAATGGAGGCTCAACCTCAATAGCAAGAGTCAGATGTAAGGAGCACCCAGCAATTCCATTGGGCCAGTCATTATCGATGACAGTACATGCCTCATGATGGAAACCTCTAGGAATATATAAAATATCGCCTTCACTAAGCAAAAACTGTTTGGTCCCATCCATTATTGGAGTTCCAACCTTCATATCATGCCAGCTATCAACAGGTTCATACAAGCGAGGTAAATGGAGACTATACTGAGGAAAAACTTTCCATTTTTTGACTCCAAGAAGTTGACATACAAGCACACAGTGATCATCATAGTGACGAGCCAAACCTTGAGAATCAGGTGGTGTCAGGTACATATTCACACCTGCCGATGGTTGACCAAACAGAGATGCTAACCCATCCGCAATAGCAGCAATACTTTCAAAGCGAAACTCCATGCCACGCAGTGTAATTGTGTATCCCTCTTTGTATGCTTCTTTACATCTCAAAACATTGTCCATATAGAGAAAATGAGGAGCCTGGGAGCAACTAGACCCTAAACACTCCTGAAAGTAATGCATCTCTCTTTCTGAATGCTCTGTTTTTAGGACCCGAATGTCCTGTTGGTAAATTATGGGACATCCTAGATGATTTTCCACCTCCTTCAGAAAACTAAGGACATTTAGCTCATCCGAAGCTATTGCTGGACAAGAAGTAAGATTTTGGAGGATTGAATGAATAAAAGAAAGAACTCCTTCAGAGCTAAGATGTTGTAGAAACGAACTGAAAATATCATCTTCTTTAGTCAAAGCTTTTGAAGGCCTCCTCATAAGCAAAGGAGATACCTCCCAATGGTTCAACACAAAATCTTCAAAAGTAGTCCCACTTGAACTGAAAATGCTTCTCTCGACTTTCTTGAAGTTGGAAGGTCTTGTGAATTGCCCAGCATTTATGGAGAGCCTGAAAATGTTTTCTGCTAGAGTATTTGTTCTGATATTGGTTACATAAGAATGTCTCCCCTGGTTAAATTTCAGAATGTTCCCACATAACATCTGTTTATGTGCATCTGCCCATAGCTTTTTAAAATAAAGCAGTAAACTTTCAGAGAGCTTCCTTGGGATCTTCTCCAGCTGTTCAATCGTGCAGCTGTTAATAAGAGTAACTGCAGCATGAAGAAGCAATACCAGAAACTCATCTTCTTTCAACCCTATTCTGGGAAAGGCTTCAGTGCCCTTTTCCTCAATGAATAGAGAAACCGATGCTGCTGAAGATTTAGGGACCTGAATGAAACAAAAACTAGAAGAAAATGAGGACAGTTAACACATAAAAGGGAAATTCTGAAACATCAAACAAACCAAATGAGAGAAGCATCAAAAATAAGAAAAACCAAATAAATAAATAGATAAATAGGAGGCGGAAATCCTTCTTTTTCCTCATACGATACGATAGCCACACATTTGGAACATCTTTTGGATCAAGTCAGACTAAATTTATGAAGCTAGTTCATCTTCAATCTCAAATCTCTCCTTATTAAGAAAAATGTGTCCCAAGAAGCAGAAATATAGCGATAAATACTAGGTCCTGTTTGGCAACAGTTTCCTTTTCAGTTTTTCTATTTTTTTTAAAGTTTTTGTGAAAACTAGAAACAACAAAGCGTTTAGTATTATGTTTTTTTTTTAGTGAAATCATTTTTGAAAACACAAAAAATGGGTATCATTTTGTAACGTTTCCATTTTATCCGGGAAAAAAATGTAAATAGAAATTGCTCGTTCTTTTTTTGTTGACACTTGAACAATCGAATATTAGGGTTTAGAGAAAGAAAGAGAAGAAGAAGAGGAGGAAGAGGAAGAGAGAAAGAAAAAGATTATGAAACCATCTTGTGTAGAATTTTTGCTGCCTACACCCTTTCACCAATTTATATTAGATTGATATGAAGACAATTACAATATTAAGGAAGTAGAACATACTAGAAAAGTAGAACAAAATAGAAAAGCGACCTTGATAATAGAAAAGTAGACCAATAGCAAAGTAACAATCTAACACTCCCTCTCAAGAGCATAGAAATCAAAAATATCCAATTTTGAACAAATGCTACTAAAGGTGGACCGCACCAATGATTTGATAAGAATATTACAGAGTTGATCACCAGACTTTACAAACAAGGTTGCAATATCTCCATGTAAATATTAAGCATAGTTCTACATGACTGCTTTGGACTATCCAAGGACTTATTTAATCGACACACAATACAATGACACTTTTCCTAACAAACCCACTTCGTTGCTCCATGTGAATCTAAGGCATGAACTGAACGACAACAATACCGGCACAAACGAACACAACCAATAATACTATAACAAACCATAGACAATAACAAATTAGACCACAACAATCGAAAATAGGGTAAAACAAAGCAGAATAGAAGTTAAATCGGCCAAAAAGGGGTTGAACCAATGCTAAAAAACATAAAACTAGTACTGAACCAGGATGAAAACTCCAATATGAGTCGGCTGAGTCATTTCGCTTCACATTAAATAAAAACTTTGAGTCTCACAATATGGCCGAGTCGTATGAGACTTTCAAGTCAACCCCGAGTCACTGAATTATCATCAACGAATTGGCTGATACCGTTCCATTGTGCCACGATATGACATGCATTTCTCGTCATATCCAATTTCTTCTGTTAGGTCATATCGCCCAATACTATCCTGTAAAACCTCCACCGATGTCTCGTTCTCCGAGTTGATGGTTGATATTACAACCTTGAACATTCCATTGAAACGACTCTAAATCAAGCTAAAAATACTGAATCGACACTCAACCGAGATGAAAATGAGTAAACCAACACCAAATTGGGCTTAAACCGTCTAAACAAACACTAAATCGNGTCGATGTATCCACCTTTGACCCACCGCCACACTCTTTCAGGCAATCGAAGATGGGTGCATTGTAGGTGACTGTGGGTGCCAAGATGGTGGATCTGGGTTTAATTTAGAGGTTATGATTAAGGCGTGCACAGTGGCAACTGTGAATGGGTTTCGATTTTTTAATTTATGGTGGTCTTAGTGCAGCTGCCTTTTTTTTTTCCCTCTTTAGAAGTTTGGATGGGTATTTTTTAGGTGTTGAAGGAGACATTGCACAATAGCTTTGCTTAACCATGAAGGGAAGAGGAGGGGAAAATGGATAATTCATACTATGAAATTTGTTTGCTTCAGCAAAACCCAACCCAAACATGCAAGTAGACAATAGGGGAAAAACGTCAGTTCCACTGACATTTTCAAGATGCACAATTTTTTTTTTATTTTATTTTATTTTTTTTTTGTGTTCCGTAGACTGATAAAAAGCTCTATACTAGATTGACATTGAAGACAATTAAAATATTAGGAAGGTAGAATATATTAGGAAAGCGACATAGGTAAGTAGAATAACAAAACATGTTATGTTATGTTATATTAGGATGTAACCCATTAGGGTATGTTTGGCATTTGATGGTTATATATATATGGAATGTAGTTGTGCAACCCTCACACACTATTCTCTTCACATAATCTTCTCTTCTTCCTCTCTTATTCTTCTCTCTTGTTACAAACCCTAACAACTTCATAATCTAACTTGATATTAGAGCCTTGATCAAAATCTATAGTCGAAATTCCCCATTGTGTAGTCAACAATGTTTTCTGCCAGGCTAACGTCAACATCGAACATGTCAAAAAATTTCGGAAAAATTATAGACAGATTCAATTGAAATTTTTGGGAATATTGGTTATTTTGCGAATTTTTTTGAAGCCGTTTGACTAGTTTTTTCAATTTTTGAAGTTTTTTTGGGTTTAAGTTGTCGAGGTGAGATCTCCAATTTCAGCCCAATTTGTTGCTTGTTTTTCGATGGATTCCTCTTGGTGAGGCTCGACTGGGAGTAATCTAGACTACCCATCCAATTTTGTTGCATTTGGATGGGATTTCTGCAGTGTTTTGGTCAAAACTGAACCGGCGCTTTACAACAATGGGGGGAACCCCTTTCTATGGAGCGGCCTGGGCAAGGGATTAGTGCTGACGACCCCTCAGCTCCATGCGGGCCAATCAAGCCCGGCATAAATCTGCACTTGAGCTCACTGTTAGTTTCCATCTAACAACTTACTGGATTGCAAGAATTTAAATTGCACTCCTGAAACACATATTCAAGATGAGGAAATGCCAATAAGCCACATTAAAAGTTTTTCCAAGATGCACTTCTTTTTGTGCACCAGCAGACTACACCAAGCCTTAAGTCCGCTTGAACTAGATACCATCTTTGCAAAGCATAATTCACAATAAAACACTAAAAATTTCCTATACGTATTATNGAGTGAGGCGCTCGCCTAGAGCCCCCACTCACCCAAATATCCAACTCTAATATCATGTTGAATCTTAAATAATTGAATATTAGGGTAAAAAAAAAAGAGATTAGGAAACCATATTGTGTGTAAAATTTGAATTGCCTTCAACCTATCGCCTATTTATACCGGAGAGCTTTTTACCAAATCCATGTGCTTTGAAAAAATAATTCTCAAAATGGGTTAGTTTTGAAACTATTTTTCTAACTCAAACAGTTTTTAAAAACGTCACTCCAATTGATGTCTTTAAAATAAAAATATTAGTCCAAAAATAAGTTTTTAACTTAAAAACGACAGTCCATTTGACGTCTTCAAAATAAAAATATTAGTTATCTGTTCAAACATTTTTAAATTCCATCTATTGGGCTTCATCTGTTTTCCTTTTTTTAATAAAAGGGCATCTGCCTNTATGTTATATTAGGATGTAACCCATTAGAGTATGTTTGGCATTTGATGATTATATATATATGGAATGTAGTTGTGCAACCCTCACACACTATTCTCTTCACATAATCTTCTCTTCTTCCTCTCTTATTCTTCTCTCTTGTTACAAACCCTAACAACTTCATAATCTAACTTGATATTAGAGCCTTGATCAAAATCTATAGTCGAAATTCCCCATTGTGTAGTCAACAATGTTTTCTGCCAGGCTAACGTCAACATCGAACATGTCAAAAAATTTCGGAAAAATTATAGACAGATTCAATTGAAATTTTTGGGAATATTGGTTATTTTGCGAATTTTTTTGAAGCCGTTTGACTAGTTTTTTCAATTTTTGAAGTTTTTTTGGGTTTAAGTTGTCGAGGTGAGATCTCCAATTTCAGCCCAATTTGTTGCTTGTTTTTCGATGGATTCCTCTTGGTGAGGCTCGACTGGGAGTAATCTAGACTACCCATCCAATTTTGTTGCATTTGGATGGGATTTCTGCAGTGTTTTGGTCAAAACTGAACCGGCGCTTTACAACAATGGGGGGAACCCCTTTCTATGGAGCGGCCTGGGCAAGGGATTAGTGCTGACGACCCCTCAGCTCCATGCGGGCCAATCAAGCCCGGCATAAATCTGCACTTGAGCTCACTGTTAGTTTCCATCTAACAACTTACTGGATTGCAAGAATTTAAATTGCACTCCTGAAACACATATTCAAGATGAGGAAATGCCAATAAGCCACATTAAAAGTTTTTCCAAGATGCACTTCTTTTTGTGCACCAGCAGACTACACCAAGCCTTAAGTCCGCTTGAACTAGATACCATCTTTGCAAAGCATAATTCACAATAAAACACTAAAAATTTCCTATACGTATTATTGTCCATAGCTATTAACTATGCATTCTTACGCAAAAAAGCTTTGAAATCTTTCACTTGTATTTCAATTGAACAAAGAAAAATCAATAACTTTCCAGAAAAGCAGAATCGAGAATGACCAAATCACTAGTGGCTCCTTATACTTTTGTTATCGATAATAGTCTTCTGTCCACTATTAAAAAAATAACCCCCCACCCCACCCCAACCCCCCAAGCATNCTTCCAGAAAAGCAGAATCGAGAATGACCAAATCACTAGTGGCTCCTTATACTTTTGTTATCCATACTAGTCTTCGGTCCACTATTAAAAAAATAAACCCCCACCCCACCCCAACCCCCCAAGCGTTGACAAACAGGTAAAAAACCCAAACATATAACTAAAATAATAATGTGAAACTTATTCTTAATATTTCTGAATACAGAAAATAAACTAATTAGAAGTCTAGAACACAAGAAATATTCACACTAACATAGATAACATGTAAGAAATTGATCAATGGAAAGTTATTCCTACATTACATAAACAAGGGTACCATCAGTCCATCGTAACAAAAGTGCAGCTTAACTAGAAATTTTTAGTTAACCCCAAAAAAGGAAAAATGAGGAAAACCTACAAAATTATGTTGTAATCAAAGTGTGGACAAACAAAATAACATTAAACTAACATCTCGAAACTCTCACTAGATCTTTGTCTCTCTCTCCCCTCCCCCACCCCTCCTCTTTCTCACACACTCACACAAAGCTTGCTTCAAGGAGCAATATTTTACAATGAGAGAAGAGGAAAATGAGATGAAAC